TAAATGTGCTGTGATTCTGCCGCTTCTCTTCACTAGCGTTCTGAGGTGGATATCGATAGGTTAATCAGGCCTAAATCTAGAGACAGGTTCTTAACCACTTTCTAAGGTTAAAAAAATATAATGTGTTCGCAAGGTGCTAGTCACGTTATCGGTAAAGATATCATAGTTGGCAGGTGGCCTGCTCTACCAAAGAGGAAGCGAGAGCTGAAAACTAAATGAGATTTCGAAGGTGTACTAAGGAACAAAGAAGTAACTGTTCAGCACCCGGGCATGGAATCTTGGCGCCAAGGCATCCGAATACTTTATGAATGGTCAAGTACCGGTACTGTACGAGTACTATGATAGCACAGCACCGTAGCAACCCTCTTCCTACGTGTAACCGGCAGCTGGGAGCAGGGAATATTATCCGTAATCCACCACCACCGCAACGGATGACGGGCTCGGCAATAATGGCGCTTATTGTGGTCCTATCGCTGGAGATTAGGGTGGTAGACCCGGCAGAGTACTCGTACTCGTACTGGCACCCTTTCCTTCACTATAATTTGCCGCGATGAAGAACTGCCACTGCAAATCGACATTCATCCTTAAAGTTGGGCATTTAGTTGATTGGAGCCAGGGGGTTTCTGGATTCATTTGATGCGGCTACCGGCACTTCTCTCTGTGGATCATGAATGTGGAATGTTAGCATCGTACTACAGTACTGTACCGCCCTTGATGGTCTATCGCCAAACACAGGAACCTATTTAATCGGCATCTGATACGGTACCAGAGTAAGATCTCCTCAGGCCGGGGAGCTTGCGGGAGGCTTTGGTGTTATGCTAAATGAAGGGACAGCCGGTACCCGTGCTATTATACCGGTACTCGTACAGGCTGGTAAGTGAGTTTCGCAGAGGACAGTTCCCGGGGAACGCTGGCTGTGTAACACAGAATGAGGGGAGTTAACGCGGTTGCTCCCGGCGCACATCTTCCCGCCAAAAGGCGGGTTGCCTGTACGAGTAAAGGATTCCCCCTTTTGGCTTGATGATATGTCAAGGCTCGGCATGTTGATAATGTGAGCCCTTGAAACAACGCGCTCTATGTATGTCACACACGCCTCAAACCTGGACGCGTCTTACCTGTCCAAAGACTGCGGCCCTTTTATCTTTCTCCTCACGCATCTCCTTTCCACACTACTGGAAACTTTACGAAAGATCATCAATTCTGTTTCTAACTTCATTCTGCATCCGCGGGATTGATGTTCCTTTTTTGATTCTTTTCCAATCCTTAATCATACCTTTAATTTATTTACGTTCTCGAAGAGAGGTCAGTCAGTCTTCTTACAAATCAGAAAGAGGTTTCGTTGTGGGAGTTGAGTCACAGCAATTGAAGATCACATCATTTATTTAGCCCTTTGCTTTGCCTCCATAAGTTTATGGGAGACCGCTAACTGTTGGTGTTGGAAGGAATTAGTTTACTATAAGTTCTTCGAACTCGCTTTGGCTTTTTCGTTTTGCACTTTTACGACTGAAACATGACTACGTCTGGAAGCCGTGGACGGAGGTCCGTTACAGCAGCTACCCAGTCTGATGGCGATGATACTAGACTGCAGGATTCCGTGTCAGATGAGGATGAGCTTGTTGTGAAGCCTAAACGGCGGCTCCAGCGGGGGAGGAGACCGAAACCCATTGTTGATAGCGATGTGGATAGCAATGGCGACGGGGAGAAAAACGATGAATATGACGATGACGAAGATGAGGAGGAGAGGGAGACAACCCCAGCACGGAAGAAAGCGGCAATAGAAGGGGGAGAGAAATCAAGGTTGTTTATGGCAGCCGTTGAAGGTGAGTTCGTATTTCATAGTCCTGGTCTTTGGTCTCTCATACGAACACGGCTTTGCATGTTTATCACATATCTCATTCCTGTGCTGTGGCTGGCCATCGCCATCTTTTGCTTATTATGTCACCGTGTTCCTGTGTTCATACTATCGACTGGGACCCCTTCTCGACTTTAATCATCTCGTTTTTTTAATTCAGACTAAGAAGTGTGTTGCAGTTCCTGTACGCAAGCCCGTGGTAATGTCGCCCATGCTTGGATCCGTATCGGCCAAAAAGGCAACTAAACAGCTATCCATGGACAATTATTTCGGTAAAGCGGCGAATCGTGCCCCTATAATAGTTCCGGAATTTGTGAAACCAAGAGGAAAGGGCAAAGCCGTGGCGGTGGAAAAGTCTCTAGCACTAGCTCCTAAAGCAAAAGTGAAAAAAGAACGGGCACCCAAAACACCTGTTCCCAAGAAGAGCGCCAAGGCGCACTCTCGATCGGCAAAGGGAACTGACGATGAATCGGATTTTGCTGTTTCTGGCGATGCTGAGGATGCCGAGAGTGAGGCGACGGATGATGTTTTTCCCACAGAAGATGAGGGTGATAGTGGTGCGGCGATCGACGATGAAATTGACGACATTGTGGTCGATAAACCAAAATCGAAATCCAAAACCAGGGTCACTGCTACCGGAAAGGTGAAACATGTATCCGTTTCTAAACCTTCAGGGTTGAAAATTATACCTCGTGAGGGGGATCTTCCCCCTATTTCCGATTTGCAGCAAATGTTCGACGATATCGTTTCACGTCTTCCTGATTTGAAGAGTCTATTTGGAAAGAGCGGGGGACGCAAATTGAGGGTTGCTACTATGTGTTCTGGAACTGAGAGCCCTTTACTTGCTTTGGGATTGATGGGTAGGAGTATGAGAAGTCAAGGTATAGGAAAACTCGACATTGAGCACGTGTTCAGTTGTGAGATCGAACTGTATAAGCAAGCGTAAGTTGGTTCTGAAGCGGCTTCTGAGGTCGTTATGCTGATGTTGTTAAGTTACATTGAGAGGAACTTTAAGCCACCTATCTTGTTTAGGGATGTTAGAGAACTTGGGGAGGACGTGGCGTAAGTTAATTTAAACCATGACGGTACTGAGTAGGAACTAATGGTTGTAGTACTACGGCGTACGGTGCAAAGGTTCCCGTTCCTGGAAACGTTGATTTGCTTATTGCCGGTACGTCTTGCGTCGATTTCTCGAATTTGAACAATAAGAAAAAAGGCCTCGAGGATGTTGGAGAATCGTCAGATACTTTCCACGGAATGATGAGATGGGCAATTCGTCATCGTCCCACCGTTATCATCCAGGAGAACGTACAGGGTGCGGCATGGACTCAGATGAGGGCGGAATACATTGAAGCTGGATATTCTGCCGAGTTTGTATCCAATTTTGACTCCAAGAATTACTACGTCCCCCAAACTCGACAGAGAGGGTACTTGTTCGCGGTAGATAAGGCGGGTAGCGGCATCCCCAATCGATGGATTGATGCTATGAAAAGCCTTCGCCGCCCCGCAACTTGCACCCTCGAGGCTTTTTTGCTTCCGTCCGACGATCCTAGAATCCATCAGGTTCGGATGGATTTGGCAACGAAACGCGATGGGTCTAAGAAAACAGCGAGATCTGTTGAATGGGAGAAATGCGAGGGTCGTCACCAAAAGGAGAGACTTCAACAAAAACTTGGTCTCAAGAGACCGATGACCCAATGGGAGGAAGGCGGAGTCTGTAAGATGTTGGACTTCGCATGGCAGGATTGGGGTGCCATGCAGGTCGACCGTGTTCTCGATTTGATGGATATTAATATGTTGACCCTGGCGAAGGAAGGAATTGATTGTAATTATAAGGAGTAGGTCTGCAGACCTCATTCTCGATACGATCGCTGACATGTTTCAGGCAATTTTGGAATCTGTCCCAAAATGTCGACCGCAATACTTTCGGAAAAGCGAACGGCATTTGTCCCTGCCTTACTCCACATATGATTCCGTACCTTACCGATCGTGGTGGTCCGATGATTGGGCTTGAGGCGCTAGCCATGCAGGGTCTTCCTATAAACGAGTTACTTTTGACGAGGGAGTCTACGCAGGAGCTTCAAAATCTTGCCGGAAATGCTATGACCTCAACTGTTGTAGGAACCGCCACCCTGGTTGCCTTGTTGCTTTCCAAGAACGTGTTACGACCTCCAAATGACGATGGTATGGATGTCGATGTGGATGACCTGGACATCTCGACGAGAATAGGTGGAGATGAGCAACTTAAGCAACGGCCTCTGGACTTATCAACTACCCAAGCTTTCAAGATTTCCGACCTATTGAAGTTGGCGTTACGAAGTTCTCGTCTATGCGTTTGCGAGGGCCGATCGGACATGACCTCTAGTTTGCTTTCTCGTTGTGAGGAGTGTGGCTTTTCCAGTTGCGAGAGATGTGGTGGTAGACCTGAACACGTTTACAAAGCCCTTAGCGTTCACGATCGGCTTGCACCTTTGGCATTCGAGGATATGTTGAAAGGTGTTCTACCTATGCGTTTGGTTGTTGCCGGGATCACTGAGGAATTTCTTGAGAGCCTGAAGACTGCCAATCCTACAGCCGCCGGTCATATATCAACTAAGGACTGGAGCATATTTATCAGTCTTATCCTCGATGCGACCTCCGGGGAGTTTAGGTTCACAAATCTGAAACGTCAGCAAATCTGGAGTGTATCTTACGATGCTCCAGCGGCAAAGTTGGAACTCTTACTCGACCCAAGCCAACCAGAGTGGAGGCTGTTCGCTAAGTGCCCCACATCCGAGGGTGTCAATAGCCGAAAGCGTGCAATGTGCAAAGCACCTATGGCTCGTATGCGATTATCCAACGCCCAAGACATTATGGATTGCGGGGTCGAGGTGTGCTTGCCTACGAGATATGATTTCGATCTGACATTGGAGGGGGAAGGCGATTTGGTCGAGTCTTGGCAAGCTCAACTTGGTCTTCAGGACTCTAAATTTGCTGAAAAGAAAGTCTGGTCCTATATTCGGATGACTGTTCCTGACGAAGCAAAAGAGTGTCTTGATCGTGATCTTTCTGGTCTCTGGAAGCTTCTTCCTGCATGTGGGACTTCTAACGGCGCTCTTCACAAGCAGGTTGACGGTGACGGTGGCGCACAACTCTTTTTCTTCTTGGATCCTACAAAGTGCGGTGAGCCTAAGCATGACCCATTTGTCTTCTCGGTCAGCCCTAGAAGATATGCCTACGGAGAACAGCGCCCCCTTGTTGCGAAATTAGATCCTAAGTTTAGAACATTCGGTGACAATACACCGCGGGTTGTTAGGTGTCATGTTGATGGACAATGGGTTGTGGCTAAGGGCTCCACCCTTAAGCCGCCATCCGCTTCTACGCAAACCGTGGGCCGGGCTATTTACGCTACCCCGGGAAAGAAAGGGTTGGAGATTAGCGTTACTAAAGCTAGTTGTGCTGCCGCTAATGCTATCCTTACTTGTCGGGTTCCGTTGGAAAACCAAGCTGAGGGGGTATGGCCAAAGGGAGTCTGGAAACAGGTCGACAAGATTCACGAGAGAAATACGTTCGAGAGTCTGGCGTGGCTTACTGAACGTGTACGATCTATGCGGCATTTGTCAAATTGGAATGCGCTGGATCTTCCCGAGGACCACACCAGCTGCGAGCGATGTGCCCCCAAGCCACCAAATCTTCGTTGGGTAATGAAGGGGAATAAGTTTGTTCCTATGGAGGATGCCAAACAAGCTGCGCCGTACGAACGTGCGCTAAAAAATAGACCCTCACCTTTCGTCACACAGTTGATGCTTGAGGATGATAGCACTGGTATTTTGAGGATTGGTCTGAATATTCCTACGCTCGTTCATAGAGCATTGTCAAGACTTCCATCTGAAGGTAGAGAGGAAATGCCGATGCTGAGCTGGCGATTGACCACCGACTATATCCCGGAAACTCAACTTACACTTCCTGCATTCGAATTGACAAGTAACAAGAAGGATCAGCAGCACACCCAACCTCCGAGGTTCATTACCAAGTTGAGACCAGAGCAGCTTAGATCGCTAAGTTGGATGTTGACGCAGGAAGAAGAGGATGCCATCCCTTTTGTTGAAGAAGAGATTTCTGAAGCTCTTTTGCCACACCTTAATTGGCGAGCGGAGGGGAAAGCGGAGCGGCCTATCCAGGTCCGTGGAGGCGTCCTTGCTGATCAGGTCGGATATGGTAAAACCGCAATCACATTGGGATTGATTGATTGCTCCCGTGATGATGTCAAACTCCCTGAAGATGTTGATGGTCGTATACCTGTTAAGGCTACTTTGATCATCGTTCCGGCGCATTTAACCAACCAGTGGCCTGCCGAGATCAACAAATTTACCGGTAGCAATACCTATAAGGTTATTAAGATCCAGAGTCAGGCTCATCTTAATGCCTTGACCATTGCCCAAGTGATGGATGCGGATATAATCGTTGTTGCCTCCACACTTTTCAGGAGTGACAAATATCTTGGTAACCTGGCTGGATTTGCCGCCACGAGGCCTGTTCCGTCCTCGGAAGGCAGGCGCTTCAACGCGTGGCAGAAGGTTGCTCTTCGGGACCTCAAGGAGCAAGTGAACAATCTTCGTGGTGGTGGCGCCGAATTTGTTCGGCAGAGAATCGATGACAACGCGAAGGGCGTCAACGACGAAGATAGCTCGGCAGAGGAGATGGTGCGCAACAAACGTCTCATCGGTAAGGCTTATGTCGAAGCAGTTGAGAAGCAAGCCCAGGCCGGCGGAAAGCGCAAGAGGCCGAGAGTTGAAGTCTCGGATGGGGAATTTAGTTCATCTGCGAGCGGATCTGGTCCATCGAAGAGGAGTAAGATGGCTCCCGTCGTGGTTGGCGATCCTTGGGGTCTTCGGACGAATGCTGTGGCAAGGGATTGGAAGCGTATGCACGCACCGCCGTTCGAGATGTTCCACTTTAATAGGTTGGTTGTCGATGAGTATACCTATCTTAAGGGACAAATACATGCTGGTATCACTTGCTTGAAATCTACTTTCCGTTGGGTGTTGTCTGGGACACCGCCATTGGACGACTTTGCCGATGTTAAGACTATTTCTGTGTTTTTGGGTATTCACTTGGGTATTGACGATGATATGGTTGGGAAGATCGATAATAGGAAGAAGATCAAGAAGGACAGGACTAGTAAGTATTATCTGCTACATTAGTTTTTATGGTTTGCTAATTTCGTGGCTAGGTGTCGAGGCGTTTACAGCATTCAGAGAACTGAGATCGCCGGGATGGCATACACGGAGGCACGAGATTGCCCAGAACTTTCTTAATCAGTTTGTGCGACAAAATATTGCCGAAATTGATGAAATTCCTTTCGAAGAACATATCGTCCCAATTACACTTCCCGCGGCTGAACGTGCTATTTATCTAGAGCTTGAACATCATCTACAAGCCTTGGAAATGAACATCCGGAAATCGAAGATCAAGGTCGACAACGACAGAGATAAGAGGTTGCAAGAATCTCTTGGGGACAGTGCGTCCGCTGAGGAAGCTCTACTTAAGCGTTGCTCTCATTTTGTTTTGGATTTCACTAAGGAGGATGAGGAAAACGCTGTTCAAGCTTGTGAGGTTATTGTCAAGGATCGTAAACGTCAACTCACTAGCTGTCGTGAGGAAATCCGTCAGCGCCTCGTCGATTGTCTGAAACGTCACAGGGAGATTCCGAAGGATTCCTTCCCCATAGCATCTGGTGATCACTTTGGCACCTTCCTCAAGACCACCCTCGAAAACGGCATTGGGGATCCAGAAGCCGGCGGGGACATCGTCGCGTTGATCAATCAAGCCAAGGGTAATGGAAGGGGTCCTAAACCATTTTCTGGCATCCCTAGCGTCGTTGGCGTCGATTTCCTTAAACCCGTCAAGTCCTCCAAGAAAACTAAAGGCAAAGGAAAAGCCGATGACGATGATGATGATGTGGAAGTCTATATAGAACCCTGGCCAAAAGCAATGGAAGACAAAGTCCAGCAACTCCGCGATCGTACCGCTGTCCTTCGTGCCCTTGTCCGGAAAGAACTTGTCGGACGCCATCGCTCACTCCGTTACTTCCGCATTGTCCGCGACCTCCAACAGTTCGGCCTCGCCGAGTTTGCAAAGAAGAACTCCGTCTCGAACGTCTCCTGTCCCGGATGCAAGCGCAAGAACCTCCCCGTCTCAGAGATTGCTGTTCTCTCCAGTTGCGGTCACCAAGGCTGCTACACATGTCTCGAGGCCGCAGCGCATAAACAAGAGTGCCTTACCCCAGGCTGTGACTCTGCCGCTCGCGTGCTCAACGTCGTTAAGGGCGAGAGTCTAGGAACTGAAGATGCGAAGGAGGGAATTGGCAGACATTATGGAATGAAGTTGGAGAAGATGATGCACTTAATACAAAAGCTCATTCCGGTGGACGAGAAGATTCTCGTGTTCGTCCAATTCACAGACCTGATGGAGAAAGTGGCCCAAGTGCTGAAGGAGTACAAAATCGGCTTCTTGCAAATCAAGGGCTCCGCGGCAGCGCAGAGTAAAGCACTCCAGCAATTCCAGGAATCGGCCGAGAAGGATAATATTAAAGTCCTACTACTGAACGTCATGGACGAGAGTGCCTCCGGAGCGTAAGTTCCTTTTTGCACCCTTTTTTTTAAAATTTCCAGGTGCAAAGCAGCTAATAATAATGTGAATAGCAATCTCACAAACGCTAATCACGCCATCTTCCTCTCCCCGCTCCTCACCACGACCGATTACGAGTATAGGTCCTGCGAAACGCAGGCTATTGGACGTGTGCGTCGCTACGGACAGACTAAGAAGGTGCACGTGTGGAGATTCTTAACGGAGAATTCCATCGATGTGGAGATTTTCCAGGATAGGGGTGGTGCTAAGTTTGCCGATGTGGAGAAGTTTGTCATGTAACTTGGTTGGGATTAAAAGGTCACAAGGCGGGATGAAGAGATGAGGAAGGGGGGGGGGTTATGGATCATGAATGAGGGGTTATGGTTCTTTTTTTATTATATTATATTCTTTCCTTTCTTGTTGTGTTTCTTTTTTGCATGTTCATTGTTCCCTTCTCCTTTTACTTGATTATATTCTTTTCCTTCGTGATGAAGGTAGGAGGCGAGTGGGAGTGGATGGCGTGATGATAGATTATTACGATTCTTTGGCGGCGGGCACCTTTACTCGATTCAAACTTTTGTTTATTTATTCATTGTGGGATTAAATGGATGACTTATGGGTGCAAGGGAGTGGGTGGGGGTATGAAGCTTTATGTGAAAGTTAGAAAATTAATGGGACGGTTTATCATGTGCCATGCTTGTTCTCTGAGTTTTTGTATTTTGTGAGTAATGTGCCGGGCAGTTTTAGGTCTGGTTTCAGGTCCTTTCTTTTTTTTTTGAAAATTTGTGCCGTGACTTGTTGGGAGCGGGGATAGTTATAGCAACAGTGATGTCACAAACTGGATGTTTAGATACATTTACGGGATGCTCGTACCCCGGTGTTACGCTACATATGTTTTCCGGGGTAAGCTATAGGTGTCGTCATGGAATATCACTCGCCAGAAATTTTTGCTTTCGGCTGGACGACGACTCTCGTTCTTTATCGTGGCATCTGTTGAGACTATATGAATATTTGTACAAAGTGCGGGTGTGGGTTGGGGCGGAATAGTGCGATAGGATAAAGGGGGTGGAAACGGTTGGTTTGGATGTGGTTTGGGCAAGCGTTTGTTTTTTATCTTCAGGTGGTTCGGAGCGTTTTCAGGGATTTGATTCTTCTTATTATGATAATATTATCATACTATTTCTTGTTGACCCTGGGATGAGCGGGGGGTTCGTGATGTGGTGTGGATATATCTGCGAGGTCAAAATGTCATCCTACCATTTTTTTTATTTTTAGAATTGGCGGGGACATTACCCACATATAGATTCAGTTATATTCCTGCATGAGTAGTAGCTTGTCGCCTGGGTCATAGGACTTCCATCGTACGCTGAGTTTCTGGCGGGGGGGTGTTTTTTTTTTTTTTTGGAGAGGTTTTTTTCAGCAGATCTATGATACTTGTGTTCCTAGAACTCTTGCCCTAGATATTGTATTTGGAAGTTGGCTAGTATGATATGGTATGATATGATATGATATAGGGTTTCTGCGTGAATGATACCATAGGACTACATCGGGGGGTCTTGGCGCTTGGGGGAAGTGGTATATAAGGAATCGACCCCCCTATCTTGGACAACAATTTTTGGTATCCATGTCTGCGGAAGGGGATTAAAGATCTTATCTATCCCCTCCACCTCTACCATGTTCCTTCCCCCTACCTAACTTATTCCGCCTGCCTCAACTCCCCCCCCTCCCCCCCACAACAGAAGGAAGCTGATCATCTTCTAGGCCTATCAACCTGCATGGCCCCCCGGCTTTGACGCAAATTTGCGGAAACCGGGCGGTGAATGTTGTGCAGGTTAGATGTGACCGGGAGCTTGATGTGAATCTGACAATGAGCCACCTATCTAGGGTCTGTGGTCCCCCATTCAGGTCCGTCATATTCTTTGTGTTGTTGGGGTGGTGGATATTTACACGGTTCGCCCTTATATTTTAGGGAGGATATGAGGAATGAGAATGTGGGATGTGGGGCACAATCTCTGATTACTAGAAAACAAAATATACTGATGATCATACTGTAGGGAGGCTTAAAGTTGTTAGTCTATTGTGGTATATAGCAACTACTCTGGCTTTTCGAAAGTGTTTTACTTTTGTCGGTAATAAGTTCTTTTTTTCTTTTTGTTCAACTCATATATCTTGTATATAAAGACTGACTTTATAAGCGATTACTAGAACCTAATTCATATGGTTGATAAAATGCAAGTAAAGCCTTGGAATGGCTGTATTTGGGTTCAACACGAATTGGACCTGCCCTCCTGACCTGATCAAATGCTGGGCTATGTGGAAAGCACAGGGATTTCAAAACTTTCGTGCTTAGGGTGGTAATTGCAAATTACCAGAAATAAAAAAAAAGATTCCATCATGTTGCGGATGCCGCCATACGAGAACTCTCATATCTCTCATGTAGTATTTGCTATTATCCTGAGTGGAGCCTTGTGGCTCTGTTTCTTGGAAAATTTCTACTACCCATATATTTCACAATTATTAATGCTTTGCTTTACAAAATCTATGGTGTATAAACTGAGGGTTAAAGAGAGTTGATGGTAAATTTTCATTGGAGATTGCCCTCTAGTTATTCCCTTGCCCTGGTTTGTGGGGCCAGCTTGGGAAGGATAAGGAGGACATGGCTCTGAATTTGCTTTCTTCTTTTTTTTTTCCTTTTTACGCAACATCTTCTGTATTTACCGATACCTAGCATTGCCTTCGGGCCTTCCTTCAATCCTCCCATACCTCCTGATTTGAGGCATTCTCTCAATCTAGCTATCCCCTCCTGAAAAGAACCATTATCCTTCCAAGTTTCGGAGTCCTGCGGATTATTGGTGCCAGTTTACCACACCTCGGTCTCCTGTGAGAATACAAGTTCTGGGAGCAGCCACTCCTAGTATTCCTGCAGACAGAATAATTAAGAAGTTTCCTCTGTTTATCTTTGGCGTATGCCAGTTTCCCTGACTAGATCAACCATGCTCTTCTCCGGTGACCAACCCATTGCGGTAGACTTATAGATATCCTGGCACCACTATACTGTACTTTGCATCCATGGTTTCTGATGACAGGTCAAGAGGTTCCCCCTGCTTCCGTAATGCCTTGAACAGGGTGTTATCTGCCTCCTTCGTTGTCTAATATCATTTGGCATACAACTTGTGTTTTGTGATTCAAGCTCGCACTTGACGTTTGTATACATGTGTTCGGTCAATTCGGTGCCTCCTAGATTTCTGCGAGAGTCTGGGGTTTATTAATGTTGTTTTTCTGGATCGGGTATTTATACGAAGGCCCTCAACCTGCTCCCGAACCGCCAAAGCAGAAATGGTGCGGGCACGCCGAGGACCAGTGCCGAAAATCCCAACATGCTATTCCCCCAGCCATAATCCCACTTTTGATAAATATAGGGGGCGAAAAGGGGGAACACGAAGCCTGCCAAGCTCTCCAATGTGGTCGCCGCTCCAATCGCACTAGCAGCATAGCGTGTGTACGAGTCCACGATGTACTGGTATCCAACGATCGAGCCGATGCAGAGCATATACACGACTAGGTTTGGCGTTATCCAGTGGAACCGGTACTGTGCGCTCCAGCCATACAAGAAGAGGCCGGTAGGGACGAGGATGGCACCGACGAACATTAGTGGCACGCCGAATTCGGGAGTGCCATTTCCGTTATTGCGGGCTTTTAGGCTGGTGTATATCTTGAAGGGTTAGTCGAGTGACATTCGGTGCGGTGGTTGAAAGGGGGGAGCATACCTTATCGTTTAATGGAGCGCAACTTTGTGCTCCGTGGAGGAAGCCAATACCAATTGAAAGGTAGTTGAGCCCGCCGATTCAGATGCTCATGTGGTAATTTTTCTCCCAAAGCATGGGGAAAGTTGCGAAAACAAGATACATCAAGCCATAAAGATATGCAATATATGTGGCTAGAACTTGTACAATTATCTGTGTTCGGAGAATCTCGAAATGCCGGAGCAGTGATGTTCTCAACGACTTTCCTATTGTCTTATCAGAGTCATTAAACTTGCTGCGGAGGTTCTAGTTTCCGGTTTCGTGAATCAGTCGGGCGGTTTTCTTGGCGAGAATCGTCGGGGCGTATGTTTCGCGGGGGAGGAATAGTCCTAGGATTCGGATTAGGAAGCAGAGGATTGAGGTTGCGTGGAAAATCCAACGCCAAGTGGTCTTCTCCGCGATGAAACCGCCGGCTATGGGACCGACTACGGTACTATACCAGCTTGTTAGCTTGAAAACTGGAGAGTGGAAAGGGCGAATACTTGTTGGGCCGAAAGAGGCGCTAACGAGTACAATGAGATTGCTTTCCCACGTTGCTCAGGAGCCCAAAGGTCACTATGTACTCCACCACCTACCTATTAGTTCGTTAGCAAGCAAGAAATGGGAAGATCTAGGTGGGGAAATACCGCTGAAGTAACACCCGCCAATCCCGACAGAAACCGAAATGCAATCATCTGAGCTTTCGTCTTGCTGAACCCGCACGCGGTATTCCATACCAGGTAAAATAAACTGGCAAGCTGCGTTACCGGCACGCAGCCGTATACCTCTGAGAGAGGACCCTTTGCAGCCTCACCGTTAATTCCAGAAACTCCGCACGGTAGCCCGTTGACAACCTACAAGAACCAATGGACCGGAGGCATAAACTAGGACGTATATAGAGAACATCAGGTATATTTTTATTTCTTCCCTAATTTTAAACTCCTCAGAGATTTTGCCTAGCGCTGGTGCAACCATTGAACTCAGAGCAGGACTGCTTGGAAAATTGCCGTTAGTGTACAGTATTTAGCCTAGCCACCGATAATAGGAAGGGCACCCACGATATAAATGCAAAAGCAGAAATAATGGCGGTTACTCCCCACTTGGTCTTAAAGCCCCAGTTCATTGGATTTTCCATATCCTTCGGCCCACTGAGCTTGACCACGTTTGGATCATGAGTCTTTGGTCGCCCCAGAGGTGGTGTCTGGGGCCTTTGTTCAGGGGCTTCATGTGGTACTGGGCATCCTAATCTGCACTGTACTCGGGCGCCGTAGGAGCGGAAATGTCACTGCTTAAGTGACTGGGTAGGGAAGGAGCGCGGTCCTGAAGGTCCCGTCCCGTGGGGTGGAAAAGGAGAGATCCCACATAACAAGATACCAGGACACCTTGGCGCCAAGGGTCTACACTTTTGAACTACCTTGGCATTTGTTTACCACTGGTATTCATGAAATTCACGGGTAGTATCTTAGATGTCTCGTGTGTTAAGGTATGTTCTGATTCGCCAAGTCCCAGCTGGCCTTAGATGTATGAAACCAGAAAGCTTCTTTTTGGGCCGTCTTCAACCTGGTTCTTTGCCAGCAGCCTACGGGTAGGATAGATTAACGACCATGCAAGATGGCGCTATGATGTTTCTGTTACCATGTCACTCGTGGTCTCGGTATCCAGAACCGAGAAACACTGGTCCTTGATCCTGATGCTAGCGAGTGCTCACGAGTGCTTACCTATGATGCACTAATTTTCTGACATCCTCATCCAGCATTCTACTGAATTGAGAAGATTTCCAACGAGTAGTTAACGAATGTATCAAAATACCTTGGAGACCTTTGCGGTTCGCGATCTCTGACAGCTCGGGACAGGCTTGGTTTAGCCACTGAGGCTCAAAATTAGCCTCGATGTGGCTAATTCCGCAGGTTATGAGCTCTCGAGACCCGGAAAACCCAAACTGCACTCCCCGCTTACGCTAGATTCAAAAACGGACCGGATGCCATTCGCGACAACGTACCCTACCAATAAGAATGACCTATATAGCTTCAGAAGAGGTCTTATCGATTCAACCATTCTAATGTTCGCGAAACACTGGAATGGTCGGTAACTTGTGAATCAGATATCGCCTGGATCCCGTGACCCACATTGTCCCCCTGCTGCTCCTAGGGCGTCCTATCAATAAGTACTCAAAGGAATCTACGACCGCGGGGAGCGATCTGCCCACTCGTTGTGATACCATGTTGAAGTTTTGCGCAGCCATCCATGTAAGTTACAGTGCATAGTGCTTCTAAAGGTCTTACCAGTCAAGTCCATACCTGTTCTCCCCCCGGCCCCCACAATTTCGGGGTGTGTACGGTACTCCAGTAAAAGGGGATTGAATAACTGTGGATCGAGCAGTCCATTGATATACGAGTATCGGCAGAGGCATACCGGCCTTGGTACCGTCTCTTTTCGCATCGTGGCCAATAGGGTATCCCTGGGGAAGAAGCAAATCCACACTTCTTTATTCAAAATAATGCCGGGTTTTCAGCTAGCTTTATTGTACCATGCGATTTGACCTACATATTTCTCTCGCGATTTTTTTTGTCAGCTAATAAAACCTTCGATTGGTATGATATGAAAAACAAACCCATCAGACTCCAAAATATCACGACTAGCAGTCGTTTCATAACCACCGCATCTTCTAAAATTGTCCCCACAGATGAAGTCCCTTTTCACCTCTTCTGGCCGGCTGGCTCGCTTACCAATAAGTATCTAGCTCAAACCCTAATCCTGAGGTACAATTATTGGGCGAAGCCGAATCATGTCGGGGTATTCATACTCACGTTTGATTTTGAGAGTGAGGTTAGGATATAGGAGTCCAATAACAAAGAGGTGGAGAAAGGTGATCATTGAACTATCATATAACGTATTGTACCTAGTTACGGGTCACCCCCTAGTTATGGGTAACTATCCTGAGAATTTCAAGAGTAGGAAATCTTGAGATTGCAATACAACCAGTACTTGTCATAATAAGATTTTCTAGATTGTAGGGGTTATTGTCAGTAGTAAAATACCTATGAAAGAAAATTAGTAAAAAAAAAAATTCCATAAAAGTAGCTATAAAGTGATAGTTATTAGAATTTGTCAGACTTTATATAAGGTGATAAAGCAATAATAAGTTGCTCTTAAATATGATAGTATGATATATAGTGGTATTATACCTAAACTGGTTATCATTATTGTAAGAGATTATGAGAGCAAAGTGTATCATACTATTAGGCATATGAAAGTGCACAGACCCTTCGGTAGAGTAGCTACGCACAGTCCCTCATTTATTGGAGTTGCCAACACCCTCCTCTGGCTCTGTTATGAGACCTGCATGTTTTTAGCGAGATTTTAAAAAGTTGCATCTCATGACTATAATATCAGTTCAATAAAGTCTATTGCATAATACCATATACATTGCTGCTATCCATCCAACTGGAAGCTGTTTGAAGGATATAGAAGAAAGGACCTCTGAGTACTTCTGGGAGGTAAAATAGAAGAAATCCATTGGAGGCACACTGAGTTACTAGGTTTCAAATTTAGGCATCCTATATACAGGCTAAAAGTAACAGGACATTTTAGTCACAATAATCCACAACTACTCCTACAGTGTCCCAGAGGCCATAGGAGAGAGATAAGATGCCAATACCTATCTGAAGTCCACTGTATCTTGGTTAATCCTAGAGACAGGATCTCTCCAGAGGTGATTCTCCTAAAGGTAAAATAGACTAAGAGGAAGCTGCTCAGACTCAGAGGACCAAATTGGTGGTAGACATAAAGTACTGACATACTGTCTATGTTAGGCAGAGATGATCTTGAATAGACTCAAAATTGTCTAGGAATGTTAGACGGAGACAACTTGATAGACTTCAGAGTTGTTTAGGTCAACCAAAATTTGTTTTTGTAGAGGGAGATTGTCTAGGAAGGCTTGGATTCACTTATTTCGTTTATGACTACAAAGAGTGAAGCAGAATAGGTAAAGTAAGATAGAATCGTAAAAAGAATATTATATTGTTAAGGCCTCTTCTCTATTGCTTGATGATATCTAAAAGCTTGAGAGGCACTTCAATATTTATATTCTGCGTCTGAGTATTCACAGACTACATTCATCTATTATACAATTATCTACCTCTCAGATTGTAACTTGCAATTGGGTATTCTTCAAAGTTGCGAAAACCTGGAAATCCTGAAAATTACTACACCCTCTTCGGTAATTACGATATAACTATCTAGGAACCATGCTGTTCCCAATAATAATTACCCAATCATTAGAGTCTTTAGACTTATAGACTTAGTTCTCAAATCAAACTTAGTTAGTCCTAATTATCTCCATCATTGATGAAATGATCAATTTTATCTGTGGGTTGTATCTGTGAAGGTAGTGGTCATCACAACCTTTCTAGATCACTGTAACAATTCTCTTTCAGATTGTTAGTTCTTGGAAATAGAGAAAAATACTTCTCCTCTTCTTTCTTCTTCTCGCCTTACGATAGCACTCGGCCTCTACCTATGTTACTGATAGTACAAGATCTTTGTCTTCTATCAGGAATACCTATCATAAGCTTTCTCTAACTCTCCTTCTTGAAGAGTATATTTATCGTAGTAGTAATAAAGATAGTGATAATAATAAAGAGCTTAAAGGTGTTTTATATTCATTAAAGTAATAAGTAGGGAAAGTACTTAGAAGAAAGAGTAAAGAACCTATCCTCCTCAGAGGTACTGGCTTTCTTATATATATAGTGTTCTTCCAGTTCCAAGTCCTGTGACACAAAGTGGTCCCATGCGCGAAACCAAATCATCACAAACTAATCATATGACCAAAGTGGTCACATGTGCAAAACCCATGACCTTGTAGCAAGGTCATGTATAAAAACTCATAAACCAATCATAATACAATAAACAAGTCATATGACCCAAAGTGGTAACATGCACCAAGCCCATGACTTTATAATAAGGTCATGTGTGAAATATAAATTGTATGTGCAAGCTATACTTGTAAGGCATACTTGTAAGGTACACTAGCCAGGCCCACATCCCATGACTCATATTCAAGTCATATATGAAACATAATAAATTATAACCTAAACAAGTCATATGACCAAAGTGGTCATATGCGCAAGACAATAACATGCCTATGACTCATAATCATAAGTTATGTAAAAGGCTTTTCTATGCTAAGCCACATTCATGACAGTATTTCTAACAAGGAAGGCTTAAAGGGCTACTCGATTTATTTATGACTATTAAGAGTAAAGTAAGGTAAAGTAGAATAGAATCATGAAGACAATATTATATTATTAAGGTTACTTCTCTATTGCTTTATACTGTTTAAAAGCTTGGATAGCACTTCAATATTTATATTCTGCATCTGAGTATTCACTGACTACATCTATCTCTCATAAAAATCATGTACTACTTTAGCTATAACTTGCAACGTCAGTATTCTTGTAACCGGTACGGGTACTTGGTTATTGGTTTTGTTTTATGTTTTGTCTTAAGTATCGCTTTGATACTTGGTTTGTTTTAAGTATCGTTTGATACTTGGTTTTGTTTTATGTTATGTTTTAAGTATCGCTTTGATACTTGGTTTGTTTTAAGTATCGTTTGATACTTGGTTTTGTTTTATGTTATGTTTTAAGTATCGCTTTGATACTTGGTTTGTTTTAAGTATTGTTTGATACTTGGTTTTGTTTTATGTTTTGTTTTAAGTATCGCTTTGATACTTAAAGAGTTTTACCAAAGTGTATCGATTGATACCTTTGATTAGTTTCGTTCATGCTAGACATGAACAGATTTGTGTATTTAAAGACCGCCTGTTTCTACGATAGAAAAGGCAGACTTCGACAGATAGTATTTCAATATACTTGGTTGAACGGTTACTTCATTGTTCCCCAGTACACCCTTAAAGCCTCCTTTAGTTCTCAGCTCTCGCCTCCTCTCTGGAAGAGCAGGCCACCTGCCAACTATCGTACCTATTGCCGACAACGTGATTAGCACCTTGCGAACACGTTACATTTTTTTAACCTCAGCAAGTGGTTGAAAACCTGTCCCCGGATTTAGGCCTGATCAACCTATCGATATCCACCTCAGAACGCTAGCGGAGAGAAGCGGCAGAATCACAGCACA